GAGTGGGAAGCATGCGGCTTTTGGCGAAAACTCGTTCGCGGCATAATCTACTGGTAGCTGAATCTAGCTGCGCCGCCCTCACACTCAGTAGTAGTAGCCTTGTTTTCCTACATGTAAGTGGTTAAGAACCTTTGCTACTCTCTCCTGCGTTTCTCTGCCTGACATTGAAGAATATAAGGCATCACCATTAGCATCGAAGTGGATGCCGTCGCAGCACACGGCATGTTCTCTCAATCAACATAGGAAGGGGCTGTAGAGTGCAAGAATGGGTTGAAGTCCCCCTTCGGGTTCATTGCAACTGCAGGACAGCGGGGACGGCGTGTCACACACCGTGCCAATCTACGAGGGCTACTCCCTGCCCCATGCCATCCAGCGAATGGACCTAGCCGGCCGTGACCTTACACACTACTTGATGATGATCCTGACCGAGCGCGGCTACTCCTTCACCACCACAGCAGAGCGCGAGATTATCCGCGACGTCAAGGAGAAGCTGTGCTACATCGCGCTGGACTTCGACAGTGAGATGAAAGCTGCCAGCGACAGCGGTGACAAGGAGATGGTCGAACCAGCATGTTCTGTCTAGACTCATGGCCTTAAACTCTAAACACCCCTAAACTCAACTCTGAACCCTAAACCCTAAGCCCTAAACTCCAAGCCCTAAACCGAAAGGAGCGAACTTACGAGCTCCCAGATGGCTCAATTCTTGTCCTCGGAACCGAGCGTTTCCGCTGCCCGGAGGACGCGTGTTTGGGCTTGGGGTTTAGGGTTTAGCGTGTTTGGGTTTGGGGTTTAGGGTTTGGGGTTTAGGGTTTAGGGTTTGGGGTTTGGGGTTTAGGGTTTGGGGTTTGGGGTTTAGGGACTCAAGCCCACCAAAAGCCTTGAGTTAAGGGGCTTCTATGAGTAGCTGGTCAGGTGGCCTTGGCTGGGGTGTTGCTTCACAGTTTGTTGTCTTGGGTGACGGGTTCAGTTTCACAAAGACTACTCATAGGCCCCTAAGTAGTTCCTTTTTATGGTTCATATTTAGAATCCTGTACGGTAATCCCCAAAAGGAACTACTTAGGGGCCTATGACTATCGCCCAAAGCGCCAAAGCTTGAGAAACAACAACATCTTTGAGGGCAGAGCGTCCGAGGGAACGACGTCTTCAATGGGTCAGTGAACTGAAAAATTGGAGCATTGGGGGGTTTAATGTGCAGAACATAATGGGTTTAGGGTTTAGGGGTTTAGGGTTTAGGGTTTGGGGTTTAGGGTTTAGTTATTGCTCTGGCATCCGTATATACCTGGAGGTGCTGTTCCAGCCTAGCTTCTTGGGGAGAGAGGCCGGCGGCATCCATGACACCACCTTCCGGTCCATCATGCGCTGCGACCTGGACGTGCGACGGGATCTCTTCTCCAACATCGTGCTGTCCGGTGGTTCCACGATGTTCCCGGGCATCTGGGCTCTTGATCAGGAGCTATCATTTAAGGTACCAGGATAGGGATGTCTCGTAAAGAGAACTGTTCCCTTATTAAAGAAAACCTACATTCCACAACAAGAGCCCAGGCATTGGCGAGCGCATGACCAAAGAGCTGAGTGCTCTAGCCCCCTCGACCGTCAGGATCAAGGCGGTGGTTTCTCAAAATTAGGGAGTCTTCCATAACAAAGACGTATTCTGGCTCTATCAGCATTTCATGATGTTTTGAGACTTTCAGGTAGTCGTTCCTCCGGAGCGCAAGTACAGCGTGTGGATTGGAGGCTCCATACTGTCTTCCCTGACCACCTTCCAGCGGATGTGGATCTCCAAGGGCGAGTACG